GTGGCTCTATGTTTTGCTTAAGCTTGCGTTGATAAGTTATTCGCAAATAACTGTTTTAACCCAGATAAAAGAATTTTTGCTGCTAAATAAAATTGTTCCCGATTGCTCTATATTAAGCTTTCGAAATTACTGTGAATTATATTTTGAAAGTATCATTTATAGGGATAATTTTGAGTTCAAGTTTATACTATTAACTTTTACAATAAAATCTTGACACGATATAAATTGAAATGATACCTAGTGGGGCAACGGGCCCATGCATGTCACGGGGCAAAGCGCCCATGTTGGGCTCAATATCCCTCTGTGAAGTCTTGTGTTATACATCATTAGATTTGTCTCAATGAGCTTTTAAAAACTATGACTAGCTTTTTGAATTACAAATTACACTTCATATTGTATTTTTTTTTATTTGCCGCCTCAAGACAGCAGGTTCTAGTTTCTAGTTATGCGTATTTATGACCCCGTATCGAGTTATTGACGCATGCCTTGGCAAAAGTTGATTTCAGCCATCACCAATTTGCCCAAAGCTGATGAGTTTCTATGGTGTTGGCTGAAATCATGATTAAGTACGAATCACATGCACATTATATCTCGATTATTGACAAAACTGGAACGAAGGTTTTCTGATCAAGTAAATATATATTTTCTAGTCAAGGATACATTTTTTCATGTCAATGAGGTATTTTTTATGGCTAGGATATATTTTTTAGGGTCAAGGATATATCTTTTTGTGTCAAGGAAATATTATTTTCACGTCAGTCATAGATCTATTAAGCCAATAATATATATTTTTCTTCATGTTAAGGATATGATTTTTTAAGTTGGGAATGAATGAATGAATGTAATATTTTTAATACCTTTTCCTTATTTTGAAATGTAAAGTGTTGTTTTATCATTTTTAAACAAAAAATATGCAATTGTGGTAGAGGGACCAAGGGTGGGCGCCTTGCCCCAAGCCCATTTTGACATTTATACCAAATAGTGTTTCAGTAAAAATTTAATAACTCTATAGGCGTCTAATTCACATTATACATCCGTCATTAGTTGTAACTTTAAACAAAACAAAGAACCACCTCGTATCAATTGAAACTTCATCAAATTTTTTATTTAAAAAGGGGGGGAGGCCGCTGCCCTATGTTACCCTAAGCGTTTGGCAAGAAATAGTGACATGCCACACCTTTCTAGATGGATAAAATAAGCTTTAATATCTATCACATCTATCTCAAATTAACAATTTTCGTGTTTAATTGAAAATAAGTTCTATAAAGTGAATATCCCTCATGAGTAAGGCTGAATATGTACGACCAAACAGGGAGTTTTATGGAAATGTTGGTGTCGCAGAAGACTTATATCCTAAATAGAAATTGAAAGTGCCTATAGTTCGATTATCAAATAATGTTTATAACCGGAAAATACATTATCATCCGATATATATGATTGTATTTTATAGCTGTTTTTTCGTGTGTAGTAAACGCAACTTGAACTTACAGGTCTCCGTTCTGAGTCACGTCTACCTCAGTCAACGTCATCCTAACGTCTCGTACTACGACTATGAATATGATTTGGACGATTTTTTCAACATGGATCATTTCAGAAATACTTACGAAACTGCAAAATGCGTCCGAGACATCGCTAATTTCACCAGACACTTTGCTACGAAGATCTACGATGACCCGGTCGTGAAAAATATCATTGCCAAAAGGAACGAGTTCGACCTAGTCATCTCTGACCAGTTTGCTTTTTTGGTAAATTTCGAATTAGTTTGAATTATACAAGAATTGGCCGTAATTTTTGTATAAAGCTCATAAATTTGAATTTTTGTGCTATTTTATGTCCGATCGTTAAATGGCTATTCCAGTCATTCTTTTAGAAAATATACAAATGGTCCCAACATATTATTCTCTATTGTGCAGGTTACCTACCCCTTTGCGGTGAATATGACTCACATCTTGTTTACTGCGTCGTATCTCACCCCCTTGATGAGTGCTTACCAGGGTAACGTCTTCAACCCTGCAGCGGTGTCAAACGGCGTCACGGATTACCCTAAACCCTACTCATTCCTAAGCCGAGTCAAGAATATTTTGGTTACCCTTTTCTTCGCCTACATTTGGCTTTGGAGTGTCAGGTCGCCAGCTGAAGAAGCGGTGAGGCAAATTAAACCACGTTTCTTTCAGACTAAGAACTTTAGTTTATGACTAATTTTACAGGAGTTTTTTTTTCTTTGCTTAAATGTGGAAATATTACAACGGGGGACAGTAAAAGAGCATCAAATGCAATTTGAAAATTCTGACTCATCGGGATATAAGTCCCATCTATTCGTTATTTGCTTCCAAATTGAGGACCCAACTAACCCATCACGCTTGACTGTGAATCGCGAGGCTTCTTTTAGTCTTGACTGTAAATACAACCTCGCACTAAAATGTAATGTAAAATACAACCTTGCACTAAAATGTAATGTATTATAAAAACGCCTGCTATCAATGCTCTAGGTCATTCAAGTTCAGTTATGCGTTTAGCGGGTCGTAAATTTGCTACTCCTTTTTTGACCATCGTCTTCCTACTATTTTGGGTGATCACTGAACAATATAGTTTCGAATTTTATTATCTAAATCGGAATTGGCTTTACTTTCAATTTCCTCCATGAAACCAGCCCCCCTCCAAACTTCGGGTATGTGTCGTCTAGACCTTGCGTATTTTTAGCCTAAAGTTTTGACGTCACATACTCTATGCCTTCTTCTCAATATTTTAATTATGATCTAGTCATTTCACTGTACTAACAGTGTGCGTATTATGTGCAGATATCCAAGATCTTCCCAGGCTTGCCTTCTTCCTATGAAGTTGAACGGAACGCAAGTCTAGTATTCTTCCACTCACACCTTGCCCTAGACGGAGCCTTTCCTCTCTTGCCGAACCAAATAATGTTGGGAGGCATGGTAGCTCGTGACCCTGAACCCCTTCCTAAGGCATGGAATGATTAAAGAACCCTAATGATTACCTGTCTGATTGGGTAGCATTCCTAGAATTTCGGAATAGTTATAACATTATTTTAGAAGTATATTAGGCGTAATATTATACCTTCATCATACCGGTATAATTGGGATAATATTGTCCTTGTTATACCGGTGATCAACACCGTCAATAAAGTTTGTCACCATTTTAGATATAAGCAATCTAACCCTACTCTCCACTGGTAAATAAAAAGATTACATTCTTCCTTCAGGATCTGCAGGATTTCTTAGCTGGAGACATCCCTGCGGTTTACATGAGTACGGGAACTTACGTGACAGTCTCAAATTTTCCGGATCAGTTCAAAAATATTTTCATCTCACTGTTTCCGAAGTTGCCATATAAAATTCTTTGGCGCTACCCAAGCGATGAAGTTTTAAACTCCTCAAACCTGATGGTTCGCAATTGGTTCCCACAACAGGATGTTTTAGGTAAGTTAATTTTTCAGGGTAAAGAGAGCCGTCCAGTAGTACGACAGCTCTGAAGCAAGAAGCGAGCTTCGAAAATGAATTCAAAAAGACAAAATTTGCAGAAAGCGGCACTTAATAGAAGGACGTATCACATGTTAACGGGTTCGGTACAGCACAGAAGCTCGTACCGACAACCAATACGATTTCAATTTGCAAATATTCCACGCATACAATCCTTTTACCGTCCGCATAATGACGGTAACTGTTGTTGGCATGCATATGTCTTTTTTCGAAAGAAACTGACGACCATGAATTTATTTGTCGCCATATTTAACTTATGTAATTACGTCGATCACTACATCACACTTTTTGTTTACTGTAGTGCAATATAGTTTATTAAATAATTTCGTTAATTAATAAATTTTATAATTTTAGCCCATCCCAACTTGCGTCTCCACATAAGTCACTGCGGACTGAGTAGCGTGCAAGAGTCGATCTACCACGTAGTGCCCATACTCTGCTTGCCCATCCTGGGTGACAACTTCAAGACCGCACCTTTTGTACAAGACGAAGGGATCGGAATGAGCTTATCTTGGCTTACACTTACTGAACAGACGCTCAACGAGTCCATTCTCTCTATCATCAATGATAACAGGTAAGTTTGTAGATTTTCTATGGTTCATATAAATCTTTAAACTAATAGTTCGCTCATACACTCGCGTCCAAAGGCTCCGTCGTAATGTGAGAAGAAAGACAAAATAAATTCTATGACCTTTTGCAATGACTAGCTGCCAGCATCACTTACTCATCTATACAATGCCTTACTTATTTATATAATGTGTGTGGAGGAGAAGAAGAGGAAAGCAAGGTCATGGGTGAGGGATATTAGGCCAAGTGCTATATATGAGAGAAATAATTAGTGTTAAGAGTAAGATAAGTGTGCACCGCAAAATAAAGTTCAAGGGGAGGTACACTTTTAACTCTTTTAACCCAGTATTGCTTTGACCGAATCTCTCAGGTTCAGAAAACGAATGGAGTTAAAGTCACGCATATTCCGGGACCAGCCGGAGCCCCCTTTGCAGCGCGCCGTATACTGGACGGAGTACGTGGCAAGATATAGGGGAGCGCCGCACCTGCAAGCCAGCAGCCGGAATCTCAGCTGGATCACATACGCCAACTTAGATATTTTGGCCGCACTAGGCTTCTGCATCATCTTCATAGTTTACTGCACCGCTTTGATATCTCGTTACATCTATAAAATGTTCACCGGCAGTGTTAAAAAAATAATGCAATCGGAAAATAAATATTATTACCATAAAGTTGAATACCATTAGTTTTGTGTTATTATGTTTAGTGTCGAACGAAATTTCTTTATGTTTTTTGTCGTCGTGCATTTATTACAACAAAATCGGGCTGTCGTTAAGGCTGATAATGTGTACCTGATGCATGGAATGAAAGCCCGGTAACCTTGTTACGTAATGCAAGCCACACGAGCAAAGAGCTGAAAATTTACAGGCCAATTCCTCTTGCTGACACCAGTAGAAGGATTTTCGGTGCAGTTTTGAATGACAGAATGCAAATATGTATGGAGCGTGAACGATACTTGGTGAGGAGTAGAATGGTTTCAGGTGTGACAGAAGAGCAGAAGAAAACATACTTTGTTGTGAATGAATTGACTGAAAGAATGAAGAGAGATGGAAGGAGAGCCTACTTGGCGTTCATAGAGACAGAAAAAGCACATGATAGGGTCGATAAAAAATTATTGTATGAGGTTTGAAAATTGGTATGAGTGAAAAGTATGTATGGATAGTATATATGTGAATGCTCGAGCGAAATATGGGCCAGGAGATGTGGAAACCGACTGGGTGAAGTGCAAGAGGGGGTTCGACAAGGATGTATCCTGTCTCCACTTCTCTACAGCTTTACACTGAAGGCTGCTTGACTGAGAAGAATGTATGTCAGTATGTGGGAGTGCGTGTCGGAGATGAAGACTAAAAATGCTACTTTATGTAGTTGATGCTGTAATAATGAGTGAAATTGGATTGAACTTCAGAGCATGCTAGACTGTATAACTGAGTATGGCAAAGAATTTAATGTGTGCTTTAGCCCAGAGAAGAGTCAGATGCTAGTTGTTAAACGAACAGCTGATGATGTGGATAGAGTGTGGCATATGGGAGGCAATGTGATTGGGATAACAAATGAGTGCAGATACCTGGGAATGAGTCTTAACCACAAAGGAGGTGAAAAAGCTAAAGCGATGAGTGTAGCAAATAAAATAAGTCATAAGGAATACTGGGAGTTTGCTTGTGGCCGTGATACGTAACGGACGTGCAGTGTCGTGCGCGATCCCGGTTACATTTTGAAGAAATTGTTTAAATAAATTGATGAGACAGAAGGAATAATCATGCTTTGTTAACCGAGTAATACCTAAGAGGAGATACCCAAGATGGAGATATGAAATGCTTTCAACATTACCGAGCAGACCGAAAAGAAGGGAGGAAAATAGGAGGCGTTATAGTCTACCTCAGAAACTCCCTCGCGTCAAAAACAGTTCCCCTGCATTTAGGCTCCAATGGATATGTGTACCATGTTATGCACTTATGCTACACATCTCCAATCTGCAATTATGCATAGCGATCGCCGGGACCAGCCAGAAAAATTCAATGGAACTCTCGAAAGATTAGAAACATAGGTGTCAAATTTGGGCTTCCCCAAATATTTTGGTTGCGGGAGATTTTAACCTTCCACACATACGATGGCCATACTGGGACCGTTTAGGACGACGCAGAGATCAGGGCCCATACTTTCAAAATAGTTAAGAGATCGTAAGTTCATCAGCCAACCATTGACGGCATTTCAAGCAAAATCCACCAATCATAGAAAAGAAAATAGAGCGTAACTACTTACGTTCACTTACCTAATTTTGAAAGTATGGCCCCTGGCCAGAAACCAGGTAACAAAACTACTTCGATTCGCTTGGGAGCACTTGCTAAGTCAACAGGTGCTGGTACGTGCCAAGAAGAGATTCATCGCAGTAACGCCCAGTGTTCTCTCGTGCCAGTTTCCACTCCGGGAATCCTGACTATATTTTCGTAATTTCGCTCAATTCTGGAAATAATCCTGTGGCTTTCAAATAAAATTTTCGTATGAACTTTTATATTTGTGTCTTTTTCCTAACTAATCCTATGAACTTTTATATTTGTGTCTATATGGACATCGCGAAAGCATTTAACAAAGTTGATCATGAAGTGCTCTTCAGAAAATTAAGGTTACTGGGGGTCTGAGGTGAATTGACGGCATGGATCGGGATGCCTGTCGAAACCATCACTGCCGTGCTTCGAATGGACCATCATGATTCCTTCCCTCAAGAACGTAGCCTATAACACTTCTTGACTGTAACATATCAGCCGCAAGCCACCAGACCGATCACATCCATTGAATTAGATCAATCAGCTCGCAGGATCGTCTGCCAATAGCCGAAAAATTATTACACCACCCGGACGGAGCGCGCCTGATCCTTGCAGTGATTATGATGCCCGCCACCGAGCTGTCCGTATCTGTCCCGTATGTCGAATCAGCCTACGGTTGAACGGCCACGCGCCATAGGACGATAAATTTTGGAACAGAACTATGCTATCTGAAACCTAACTGTTGAATCTTGAATAGCTTTGCAGGATCTACCCGGCCTCAGTTCACAATTGCGGTGCACACAAGTTAAACTCTTCTGCTTTAATCTGACTCCAAAAGATCTTGATATAACAATTAGTCAGTCGTCAAGGATACAAAATTCATTTACAATAATTATTTTCTTTATTTCATTCAAATTTCAACCTTCTCACAAGACCATCAAATTTATTATTGTCGTTTCCAGCGTTGAAATCTTGTCATCGCGAGAATTGATTTAGACTCGAAGTAAGAGTATTACGGTAAAATAGCTACCTACAAAAACGCGCTGCACTCAAAAATTTGCAGCTCACAAATAAATATTGGCCCGCCAAAATATCTAACTTACTTTTCGCTCAACAAACTCAAAATTGCAAACAAATTAAATCTCACACTAACCCCTGATGCTGTGTGCTAAAAGTTAACGTAATTTAAAAAAGTTGCGGAAGTCACTGGTCGAAGAACGATAGAATTTGCAACAGAACTATGCTATCTGAAACCTTACTCTGGATGCTTCGAGCTAAAAGTGACCGTCTGGTGGTGCACGGCAGGATTCATGCAGTTCCACTGGCAAGCTGTGATGTGTGGGCAGGGTGGCCCAGTGGTTAAAGTTCAGAGTACCAAGATTGGAGCAGAGAGATCCCAGCTCTGTGCGCCAGTTTCTGGTCAGAATCGGCAAGGAGGCCGAGCAGTTCGCCGGTTAAGCACAGCAGAATTGTAGCAGTGAGTTGCGAGTTCGAGACCGCAAAATGATGTGAATGTTCTGCGATGTGAAGAATCGGCGATAGGCCTACGGCCTGCAACCGCTATTATTATTATGATTGGTCGCAGTCTGCTAGTTACAGTTCGAGCTGAAGGGAACGCAGCCGTGCACCACCAAATTTGTGCACCAATCAGCACTGGAAGGAACGCTTAACATATTTCCGGATGACCACCAATCAGCCGCGGCCAGCCTATGACATCATCTTGCTTAGTGTGAATTTTACGTCATCATATTCTGAAGCGAATAGCCCTGAGAGTATATATATATATATATATAGTAACGGTAACAGCACTTTACCGGACTATGCTTATTTTTGGCCCAGTGACGTAAGCAAAATTGTTAAAAAAAAAGTAAAAAGAACTTAACCTAGCTGGATCTAACCTTAGTAGAAAGGTGTCAAGCAACGTAAAGAAAGGTTTTATACACACCTAACCCTAACTCTAACCCTAACCTAACGAGGTTGCCGTTTTTTAGAATGTCCGGTAGTGTAGTTCATTAATTTTCGTGTCCGGATTTTAAGTATAAACTAATTGTAAGGTACATAACCGGACTCGATTTTGTCCGGATTTATAACCCATGTCCGGTAATGTTACCCTTCCTATCCGGCTATTGTCCTGTCCGGCGTAAATAAAAACATACATATTTCACATGTGATCGGCTGTTTGCAACAGCAATTAACAAAGGCAATTGAGTGGGGATTGTTGCGACGCAAAATACTTCTTTGAACTAAAAATTAGGCTCGCATAGGTACAGCTGTTTTTTTTTAATATTGCAAGCAAAAGCCGAGAGAGTTGAGATGCAATATACAGTGAATGGAAATATTTCATCCCCTGGTTTGATCTCTCACACTTACATGGAGCCTAGAGAGCAAGGGAAATAGTTTACCAATCATTTTGGTGCTTTTAATGATGCAAAAGATGAACTTGCTAACTTATTTCCATGATATTTTGTCTTCTTTCAGGTTGTGATTCTGGCTACGGCATCTTGTTTGCACGGCGGCTCGCTGACTTAGGGTTGTACATAAGTGAAGAAGATTGTAAAAAACATGTGGGCAGAGGTGGGCGGTAGCGCGTTACATGTAGCGGCCGCTACTAGCGGCCGCTACATTTTCAGTAGCGGTAGCGGTAGCGGCTCTACATTTAAGGCAATGTAGCGGTAGCGGTAGCGCCCGCTACATATTTAAGTAGCGATACGAGGTTTTGCCGCTACAGCGCTACCGCTACATTTATAGATAAAGCCTTTAGATTTTACTTAG